TGGCGGATCTAGGGTGGGAGGGGGGGGATGGCGTACGCAACATTTAGATCGCCAATTTTTTTTTCAAATCTCATTTTTTTTCACGAGATAATATAATTTTTTTGTTTAATATCGTCCAAATTTTTTTCCCTCGGTAAAATCCTGGATTCTTCCCCTTGAAGTAATACAAAGTGACAAAAATCTATACGGCATTTTAGCAGTTGCTGAACCATGAAAATGAGATTAAAGGCAACAGATCGAAACTTTGTTACATAAGGTATATCTATACTTGTTTGTGAAGCATCCTGGTCGTCTACATTCTGAATATAAAGCTTTATACAAATAGTTTACGACGTAATGGTCGGATAAGCATCCATGAGGTCATCCATATGTCTCGAATTTCTGCAAAGGCTTGACAAAAATGTTGAATACGGACCAAAATTGCACCTTGCAAAAGTGAACCCACGGATCTATCCGACTAGTTGAACTATTTTTCAGCTCTTTCCTAACACGGGGCACCACATTTAAAGAAACCATTCCGACCAGACATGACTGCTTTTTTATTACTTCCAAGCGACTTAAGAGCCGACCATATTTGAATGTTGAAGTCGTCTTTGGCGGATGCATACATCATCCACGCAAGACCTCTGATCCTTTACTAGCTTCAACAGTAAACTGTTTGACCGGTAACACAAAGGATTATTGAATGATGGATAGGTGGATGTTTAACATACAATGGAAAATTTGAAATACAAGACCGACATGCTGAGTCGGATTTTAAACATGCTTGTTCTCGCAGGAAGACATGTCACTCTGATGTGCTTAGCGGAGAATCAGCAAATACAAATTTTCAAGTCTTTAGGATGACCCGGCCGGGATCGAAGCTGCCATCTCTTGCATTTGATACGAGCACGCTTAATGGACCTCCCATAAAATTTGAGTCAAAGTGACATGTTTATACATTGTATAACAATTCAATCAAGATCTGTAAGCTGCGAACTACATTCAGCAGGATGTAAGAACGAGTTAATATACATTAATGAACTAATATAAAAAAATAATAAGATGTAGTATGATTGCAAATGAGACTACTATCCACCAGAGTTCAAATGACGTGGAGATAAGTACTTGCACTGTATATGTCACCGTACGGCCTTCAACAATGAAAACAAAACGCAGCGTATTGCAGCTGTAAAAGGCCAAAGACATGAAAAATGTGAAACAATTCACGCGAAAAAACTAGCGGCCTCATTTATAAAAATACAATTTGCGAAAAAAAAATGTGACAGACATGAACGAACATCGACCTCTTAATTACAGACACCTGACTTGGAACAGACACATAGAGAATACGTGAACTATATGTATATTTGTATATATCCTCTCTCTGACTCCATAATGCTCATACCGAAACTTACTTTTTTATATAGTGATATTCTGATTGCATTTTACTTTTACATACACAGTCATGTTAAGCTAAAATCCTAACATTGTTTATTACTTACCTTTGACAACAAACAATTTATTCAGTGTTATATATCATATTTACATTACGTAAAATACAACATCTGTTATTAGTAAATGATGTAAAATCATTAATTATTCCGTTTTTTCTAGGACTTAACCCATGAAATCGATTTAATCATCAATAAATAACAGTATCTACATATCTATGGAGGTTGAAATCAAAAGCCTAAAGGTGTAAATATAACAACAATACATTTCCTACAAGTGAGTTTAGATTGGGTGTTATCATTTATGTATTCTCAAATTTTGTATGCCATTTTCCTGTATTTTTTTCCCCAATTATTGCCTTTTCTCAATTCCCTTTTTTTTTCGCCAATTTTCTGTATTCTTTATGTTAACTATTTTCAGTGGCGGATTCAGGGGGCGAAGAGGTCTTGCGCCCCCTTTTTCGATTGGAAAAATATATAATTTTTAGCATAAAATCGTCCAAAAAGTTCTCTCTCTGCACGGCGATATATCATCGGTTTTCTGCTAGAACGCCACCTTTCAAAAAACCCAGATTCGCCCCTGATTATTTTCTCTTCTGTAAACCCAATCCAGACCCTCATAAGGGATATCCTCTTTAAAGATTTGTCCAGATTTGTCCATGTCAACTGAAATTTGAAATTAAGCTTGTTGCCTTTGGGTTTGTCTTTTTTTTTTGTCGTTTAATTCCACTTTAAGCGTACTTTGCTTTTACATGGCGACCAGTTATATTGGTGAAGGAAGCCCGAGTACCGGGGAAGAACCCCGACGTTAGGCAAGAAAACTGGCTGAATCCTTGTCAATAAACGAGTCGAACACATCACCGCATGATTTGTCACGTTATTTCCATCTATATTTACCGACAGATTATCTTCAGTTAGTTTTTTGGTTCAGTAATGAACAATACTGCATGGTGATGTTTAATGGTTACTAGAACACACCCGCGAAATCGCGGGTATTTAGAGTTTGATTGAAAGTATGTAAACTGTTGTAGGATGAATTTTTGTAAAAGATTTTATGTCTGGAGAATTTCAGAAAAGGTATCAAACTGAGTCATAGGCACTTGGAGACACGACAATTATTTTAAGTCCTCTCCCTTTTTTCCAAAGTCCGTTATTTGTTTTCCTCTCTGTTAAATTCCATGATTTTCGCGTTTCTGTATACTATGAACATACATATATAATTATAATATAAATAAAGTGTATTTGCTATTGACTATCAATTCCAAGTTTCTTCTCCACGGCGATCACTGCTATATTATATAGAGAGTTTCTAAATATCATAGGATTATAATCATAGTATACATGCAGAATAACGCGAAAATAATTGTCCTGTCCCCGAGTAATTATGTAAATTATGTTTATAGAGGGGAGTAAAGGGGGGGGTGGTATCTGCACGGAAGAACGCGAAATAAAATGGCCATTTCACGATGAGCGAAAAATTAAAAATTTCTTGCACGTTGATCTTTTTATCGATTTCAAGAAGCACGGTGAATAACGAACCTTTTTCACGGCTGCACGTGAAATAAAAAGTGGCAAAACACGTTGCACGAAAATAACCCTTTACCCCCTCTTTTAAAGTTTAAAATCGGAAGTCTTGGGTATCACTTAAAAGTCGGTCTGATGACGGAAACAATATCCGGATGGCTTTTTCTTCGTTTTTCTCCCAAAATAACCCAAACTGAATAATCATAAGAATGGATGACAAATGCGACTATGCATGGTACCTATAGGACACAGAGGCATGATGATTCATTTATTGGGGAAGGAAGAGAAGCGACACACAAAATGAGGTCTTCTCGTTTAATAGTATAGAAGATATCAGAGACATTAACGTTCCGCTATTGCACGATCACCGGATAGTTGACTTGTACGCGAGATTACCCTGAGTTTTTGTTGGGTTTTGTGTTATTCAATGTATTGTTTTGTGTACCTTGTGTATCTTTTTGATTGTCATATTTATGGTTTTTCTTTAACTTATAATTTTAGATTGTTCTCTTGGTATCTTCACGATCTTTTTAATATTACAAAGTTACACTAGTCTATTTTAGCCGCATGTTTTCGCATTTTGGTTAATTTGAATTTTTATATTGTGATGAAAATGGTACAATAAAATCCTTAGCGAGATTTGAGATTATATAATATTCAAAAAGGGATTGGTATCAATATTATCTACGTCATGTGGTCTATGGTGGATAGTTATTTCATTGGCAATCATACCACATCTCCTTATTTTCATAATGATTGTTTTTGTTGATTAGTTTGCCTTGGACTATTATCTGCGCAACAGTCCTTTTGTCACGTCCATTCCAGACATACGTACACATTACAGCTCCAAAAAGATGCTTTTTACAGAAAAATGAAATTGAAAAGTGTGTTTATATACCTCATCTTTTTGCAAATAAATATCATTATTTCAGAAAAATATTTAAAATTGATCGACATTTTAATTAAGACCAAAAACTATCACAAAGGTGAAATTTCCACTCACTTTGCTGAGTTTGAACGTGAAATATTGATCAGGTGACATGTTAGGAGACCGTACCATTTGATATTTGGGGGGAGGGGGGTTTGCGGATTGACTATTTATTTTCAACTATTGCGATCAAATGGTCCTCATGGCACATTGTCAGTCTTTTCAAGATGCACCTGCACACGAAATTAATGGGCTGTATGATCATATGTCTCTGAGAACTGCGGAAGCGCAGACGAAAACGTAAACAATTGGCCCTCAGCCTCGTTTAGGCAAACTAAAAAAAAATAATGAATTGGTCGACTAAATTTAATTTATTATCTGCATGATTTTAAATCATTTACACTTTCAAATTAAAACTGGGTATATTAGTCAATACAATATATGTTACATTATGTATCATTATATATAGTGCAATTGCGATTGGCTAAAAGGAAGTCATCAAATGCCTCAATACAAGTTTTATGTTTTTTGTCTAACTGAATATTAAAAATACGATATTTACGACTAACAGCATTCAAAACAAATTCCTCTAGTATCAATTATAGTAATAACAAGCTAAATATGCATCCCTGAATGGTATATAATCTTTGGTTAGATAGTTTCTACGTTATTGGAAAGCATGCAAAGTCCCTGTGTACGTTACCTTATTGAGTCATTTAATCTGTTATCAACAAAAAACAAAACAACATATTTAAAAACGTAGAGATCTAAAAATCTAAAACATATAAACTGTTAATACAGAGATATGTCTCGCCCGTGTTACCTAATCATCTAGTCTATCGTTGCAGAAGACCCAATATTTCCAGAAACTATTTCTTCTTTAAAATTCTAGATTTCAAAGCACTTTAACTTCACATTATATATGAATATATTTCTATTTTATTAAAAACCAAACAAACAGCAAGTGAAATACAATGGGAAACATAACATTCTTGTGAAAACAATTACAACAACTACTTTGTGCATTTTACCCATTAGTCCGATTTTTTTTAAGCATGGCTACGATGAAATGATGACGTGATAACTGCATGTGCAAACTTTGATACTTAACGTACCTCTCCGCGTATGAGAGCAGCACAACCGGACTGATGACACTTCTCGGCTAATTCTGCTGCTGTTAGTCCGTCATTGTCCGTTATATTGACATCACATCCGTTGTCTAACAAAGCCTTAATCACCTGAAACAAAACAAGGAACTTAGTTATATCTATATACATATATGTATGTATCTATCCTAAGCAGCATCTTTATACAAGACCCCATATCGGATGTCTAGCAGTACCGTGACCTAGTCAAATTACAATGCAATATTCAAATCAAATTTTTATTGCCATAATACTAGTACTTTATACATCAAGAATGTGACAAAACAAAAACAATATTTAAGTTAATATGTCAAGTCCCATGTCCTCCTGGATGTATGATCTAACGATAAGGATCAATGTCATTTTATATACATCATTTAAATCTATAAATTGTACATTTATTTTAAAAAATCAAAATAATTTTTTCTAACAGTACTGTTCATTTCATGTTGTAACTTGAGTATTCAATCTGATTGTACTTTTTGCATAATTTATCTTCTCGTGGTATTTTAAAATTTTTGAACCATGGTAAGATGATGTTGCATGGTGGTTAAGAAAATAAATTCTTTCTGTCCTAGTTTAATTAGTTAATTCTGAATCTATGGCATCTGCACTTATCTAATTTTACAATTAAAGAAGACAACATCTGTGTACAAGATAACAATTTATTGATAAATTATTGTTTGCTTAAAGTCTAGTGGCAAATATTTTATTCATATTCGGGCTAGGACATCTTAATGAGGGTGTGGATGGGAGTTTACAGAATAGAGAATAATGGGCAAAAAATATAAAGAATAGAGAAATTGGACCAAAAAAATAAAGAATAGATAATAATGAGGTGCTAAAATATAAAGAATAGAGAATAATAGGCAAAAAGTATAAAGAATAGAGAAAAATGGCATTAAAAATTAAAGAATACAGAAACGAAGGCCCCCCATCCAGACCTTCATTAATTATTAAGACTCTGGTTGTGCAAAGTGTGTCAATCCTGATGAAGGGCTAAACTAGAGAACGAGAGTATGTTGAAAAAGGCAAAATTCTTGACATGCAACAGGCCACCTTCAGACCCCACAAATATGTGTTGAAAAAGGTTGTTTGACGTTCAGAGCATGAAACTTTCTCAAAATCAAACATTATCATTACGACAGGACGTGGCAGCTGTATATCAATTTACCCAACTAGCCATCTTCATTAGCGCGGAATTCACTACCGGATGAGAAAAGCCCATGGATGATCATTCTTCCATACCAAGCACATTTAGTTTTTCCGAGTTTTAGCTGTTAGTCCCCATTTTATTCGGAGGAGTCCCCTCTTTCCTTTTTCAAGCAGATTAACACTTAACAGATGGCATCTTTGCTCTATAATCTTGAAATATTTCTGTCATTCAAAAAATCCATAGTGAGGCAGAAATTCTCAATATTCATAATTTTTTCAAGTAACTAGCCAAAACTTTGTACAAAACAATTCAAACTGGCGTCCAGTGACTTTGATGATACGATAAATCTTGGGTGTTGTTCAATCATTACTTGTCAATTTATTAATATTAAGTGTCGTTACCTGTGATAAGGTTTCAACAGGTGAGAGATAACACCTGTCATACCTGAGATTAGAAGGTAATTGTTTTCCAACATCGACACCACCCTCGAAGATAGCGAACATGTTGGTAAACACCAAACTATGCACTGAGTTGCATAATGGGAAGATTACGTAATTGTGAGGATTTGACTCGCCCTTGGCTGTACGAATTTTTTTATACTGATAACATCTTCCTACGACAGCTTCAAAATATGTTTTGGTGAAATTAACACGATACAAACACTAAAAAGTATTCCTCCCTGGTGACGTCGTCAATAAAGAGGAATCTTAAAATTTTGAAAACTGTACATCATGATCGACGTATATATTGAAAAGTTTGAAACCTAAAAGCAAAAAAAAAACTTAAATCAAATGTCCTACACCGTTTGAAACTTGATTGGTACGCTTTAGTTCTAGTAGGATAGGACTTAAACGTGATTTGCCTTGATTGTTAAGAAAATCATTTAACCTATATAAAATCCACTGCAGCACCTTAATTGGAAAACTTGCTATGTCAAAGGCTTTGAAGTTGTTTTGATTACTTTTGTACCGGGTAATGTTAAAAGCCATTGTTTGTTATCAATAGAAAAACAAAGGATATGGGGTATCCATACATGACACAATATCAGTTCATGCACGGCAAAATGCACACATAGAGCAAATGCTTTAATTGCTGTTCCTCATCTCAAAGTCACAGTGAGGCCTTCAACACGGAGCAAAAAAACTCGCACATCATTGTAAGTTTAAGATGGCCCCTAGCACCGGTTTGAGCGGAATTATTTGCAAACTGAAATAATTCGGGTTGACTTTGTAAGATGTATCGCCACAAAATCGGACCAGGTGAAAAAGAACTTACTGGAAAGTAGTACATATTTAAAACAAAATAGTTCCTACTCATAGGTGTAAATAATATACATGAAATAATTCCCACTGGACGGTAGAAAGTACTCGGTTGATTCATTGTATATTTTTATTTGTCCCTAATGATATACATGAAATATTTGCCACTGGACGGTAGAACCTATTTGGTTGATTCATTGTATATTTTTAATCGTCCCTAAATATACATGAAATATTTGCCACTGGACGATAGAACCTACTCGGTTGATTCATTGTATATTTGTGCTTGTCCTTAATGATATACATGAAATATTTGCCACTGGACGGTAGAACCTACTCGGTTGATTCATTGTATATTTGTACTCGTCCCTAATAGTATACAGGAAATATTTGCCAGTGGACGGTATACAAACAAAAGTCAATCAGTTGCGAAATGTGTACACTAAATTCAACGCAGATTGACAAAATATACATATTAATTGTTGACATATTATTATCAAACATTACGATACAGTATTAATACCACCCTTTCCCTTGAGATTTTTCATTGTATTTTATAGTACAACCTGAATACAAAAATCAATCAAATTTGCTATAAAAATCACGTTTTATATTGTATAACATTGTATTAACTCTGACACAAATATCGTTTTATTAGAATTACTCTGATAACAAATATATCTCCAAATAAAAAATAGATTACAACACTGTAATAATTGTAGGATTTTTACAGGTGTAGACATAGATCATATATCTTCTTCCGTATGTTAGTAAAGTCCTGTCCTGTAAAATGATATTCGGGGATGAGACCATAAATATATTTGGTGATTTTTCCGTATGTAAGTAAAGTCCTGTCCTGTAAAATGATATTCGGGGATGAAACCATAAATATATTTTTTGATTTTTTATTTGATTTTTTTTTTTTGGGGGGGGGGGGGTCCATTTTTTACCAAATATAGACAAACCCGATCCAAAAATATCCATGTCGAATCCGTCAACCACCATCATAACAACCATTATAAAGAACCAATAACTTTATAGAGCAGATGAAAGTTATTATTCGAGAAGTTGCCGCTATTTCATCCATTCTTTTTATTTCGGTATGGCAATACTTATTCCTGCACATGTTATACCAGGATTTGAAATGAAAGACTCACAAAATGAAAAAGACAAAGGTAAATTTATTCCATAAAAGGGAAGATGCATCCTGAATTTGAGTGCAATTAAATAGTTAATAGAATGGAAATATACACATAATAAGTACAATTTCAACCATCAAAGTATCGAAGCACTGGTTACTAAAGAAAACTGCATGGTTCCTACTCGGACCGGAGGTAGGGTTGGCTTGGATTAGACAGAACGTGATAGCGCATTAAAAGACCCTGCAATGAGTCAAACAGATGCCTTCTCGTTGTGGGTGTTTCAGTCCAAATTCCCTGCCTTTATCATGATCAACCAACTTTACAGAACCTTCTTGATTTAGGAGAACCACGTGTATCCCTTGGGATGTTCGTAGTCCTTGTTTAAATAAATAAAGCATAAAAACTGATTTATCGCTAAACGTATTCTCCGATTATCCTGAATATGTCACGATGTTATAAATATTTGCTACTGGACGAATATGTGTAAAATATTTGCCACTGGACGAATATGTGTAAAATATATGCCACTGAACGAATATGCATGAAATATCTGCCGCTGGACATTTACCAAACATAATTAATCAACCGAAATAAAGCATGTTGTATCTTACCTGAAAATTACATGCACAAAAGCCAAAGTTACCTGGGTGTAACATGCACAAAAGACAAAGTCAAAAAGACGGGTTAATAACTTCCTGATCACAGGGCGATAGTAAATATCTGTTCATCACGTAGAGATAATGTGCAATTTTACAATGTCATTGAAAAAAATAACAAATTGGGGTTATCTACCTGAAATGTGTGAAAAATGCTCTTTCAACGAGCAATCTTATAATAAAGAGATTTAAAATCGTTCAATCGTTCATGAATTCTATCAAAAAGGACAGAAAACTAAATTATCATATTGCGGTCGTTTTTACTCACGCCTACAAACATTGTGAAAGTTAGTACTCCCAAAATGAATTGTTCATTTAGCTTAAATGTATTTAATATACTTCTGTTTATTAGAATTATTGTAATGAGTTAAAACCGGATTGTTCTACTAGCTGCAACTGGTCAAAAGCACATCGTGCAAAGTTGATTAGTGGTTGATTCAGTGTTGATTGCAACGTCCAGTTGTCGATATTTCAGGCGTATTCAGCATTAAGCATGAAAGAGAAAGAAGATACTGAAGAAAATTTTTTTTAAAAAATCGCGACTTAACGACAAACCACTAAATAGAAAAATAAAGACTAAACATCACGGTCCCCTTAAAATAAACGGGGAGGGGAGATTCAGGCCCTGCGGAATGGTAAGTAGATCCTGCCTCATATATAATCTATGTCAATTTTCTATCATCATAAAACACAAAAGCAGCAAACATATAATTCGTCATTGCTCCTGTTATATAAACACGAATACAAAACAAACAACATAAACTTAATTGCTTTTATAACAAAGTAAATATAAAATAGGACTTCAGGTCATATTAGGTTATGGAAATGGTAATAGAACACGTGAGTGATTGTTTGTTACTGAACGTCAAATGGCAAATAT